GTTCAAGCAATTCTCCTGCCTCAGCCTCCTGAGTAGCTGGGACTGCAGTTGCATGCCACCACACCCAGCTAATTTTTGTATTTTTGGTTTTTTTTTTTTTTTTTTGAGATGGAGTTTCACACTTGTTACCCAGGCTGGAGTGCAATGGCACAATCTCGGCTCACCGCAACCTCCGCCTCCTGGGTTCAGGCAATTCTCCTGCCTCAACCTCCTGAGTAGCTGGGATTACAGGCACGCGCCATCATGCCCAGCTAATGTTTTGTATTTTTAGTAGAGACGGGGTTTCACCATGTTGACCAGGATGGTCTCGATCTCCTGACCTCATGATCCGCCCGCCTCGACCTCCCAAAGTGCTGGGATTACAGGCGTGAGACACCGCGCCTAGCCTCATATGAATTATTAGATTAAATGTTGGCACTGGTGCTCTTATAGTAGGGACCCGCATTGTGAGACTTGATATTTATGTGACCAGAAGGATTGTTCATTAACATATGTGGAAAATAAATGTAGTTAGGACCCTAGATTGCATTTGTTGATGTTGACCTAGAGGTATGTGATGCTGTTTAAAATAGCAAAAGAGACTGTTGGACCAGTTAGCATGATTGATAAAGGCATTAATATGATTCTTTTTTTTTTGAGACGGAGTTTCGCTCTTGTTACCCAGGCTGGAGTGCAATGGCGCGATCTTGGCTCACCACAACCTCCGCCTCCTGGGTTCAGGCAATTCTCCTGCCTCAGCCTCCTGAGTAGCTGGGATTATAGGCACGCGCCACCATGCCCAGCTAATTTTTTGTATTTTTAGTAGAGACGGGGTTTCACCATGTTGACCAGGATGGTCTCGATCTCTTGACCTCATGATCCACCCACCTCGGCCTCCCAAAGTGCTGGGATTACAGGCTTGAGCCACTGCACCCGACCATTAATATGATTCTTAATGGGTGATTATTATCTAGATTATTTTTCTGGTGGTTTATAACATTTTGAATTTTACAGTCCACAAAAAAGTTGCCAAGACTTAATTTTTTGCTTAACTTCTGTTTTTACCATGTTTTCTTAAAACATTGCACAAGGAAAGTACCTGGGATGTAGTCAACCTAACTCAATACATGGTAGTTGAATACATGGATGGATAATCAAACAACAAAAACGTAGTGAAGGTATAATTTCAGGATAAAGGAAAGCCTTTAAGTGGAACATATTTAGTTTTAGGAAAAACTAAATCCATTGTCTTTAATGTTTCGATTTCCCCATGCCCCAGCAAACCCTTTGTGACCTGCCATGAGCTCACAGATTGGTTTTGTGGGAACTGCTGCACAGACTGGCGGCTAACTGGTTCAAAGGTAGCTCTCCTCTGCACACACGCCTCATCCCTCTGGCTGTTCTCTCTGGATGATTCACTTCCAACTATTTCCTGAGCACCCACTCTGAGCCAAGCAAACAGCTTCACCAACATGGTGAAACCCCATCTCTACTAAAAATGCAAAATTAGCCAGGCGTGGTAGCGCACGCCTGTGATTCCAGCTACTCAGGAGGCTGAGACAGGAGAATCGCTTGAACCCAGGAGGTGGTGGTTGCGGTAAGCTGAGATTGCACCACAGCACTCCAGCCTGGGTGACAGAGCAAGACTCCATCTCAAAAATAAAACAATAAATAAATAAATAAAAATAAAAAATAAGAAAAACAAATAGCAATCTAGGATTCAAGAATGACAGAATTAAGACACAATCTGTGCCCTCAAGCAGAATGATTTAGTTTGGGGAGAGATATGCTCCCTCCTCCCCCTATAAAAACATTATGCTACAATACAGTAAGTATCAAGAAAAGTTACCTATCACCAGGCATGTGGGTGACAGAAGGAAAGTAAACTCTATGACGGGAGTGAGGGTTGGAGAGGATGACATTTCACTATAACTTTATTTTCTAACCCACTGCAACCTATGATTTGTATGGCTTTGTAAGCATGCAGCCCATATTACTTTGGCCTCAGAAACTGTAGCTATGTGACCTTGAGCAAGTTACTCAACCAACTTGAGTCTCATTCTTCCATTATAAAATGAAGATTTCTTGGCCGGGCACAGTGGCTCACGCCTGTAATCCCAGCACTTTGGGAGGCTGAGGCGGGTGGATCACGAGGTCAAGAGATTGAAACCATCCTGGCCAACATGGTGAAACCACGTCTCTACTAAAAATACAAAAAAAAAAAAAAAAAAAAAATAGCCGGGTGTAGTGGCATGCACCTATAGTCCCAGCTACTTGGGAGGCTGAGGCAGGAGAATTGCTTGAACCCAGGAGGCAGAGGTTGCAGTGAGCCGAGATTGTGCCACTAAACTCCAGCCTGGCACTGGTGACAGAGTGAGACTCTGTCTCAAAAAAAAAAAGAAGATTTCTTTTGGCTAGAACCATCTGCCAGTCATTTGCCAAAATTATGAACACAAAGAGAAAGAGGAGGGGCACCTGATATATATTCTCTAGGCCTTTTAGAAAACGGAATTGGCTGGGCTCAGTGGCTCACGCCTGTAACCCCAGCACTTTGGGAGGCTGAGGTGGGCGGATCACTTGAGGCGAGGAGTTCAAGACCAGCCTGGCTAATGTGGCAAAACTCCATCTCTATTAAAAATACAAAAATTAGCTGGGCGTGATGGTGTACATCTGTAATCCCAGCTATGTGGGAGACTGAGATAGGAGGATCGCTTGAGCCTGGGAGGCGGAAGTTGCAGTGAGCCAAGATCATGCCACTGCACTCCAGCTTGGGTGACAGAGTGAGACTCCATACCAAAAAAGAAAAGAAAACATGGAGTTATTCTTTGGCAGCATACATGTAAATCTATAAGAAAGGTGGAAAAATAAAATGAAGCTGATAGCAGTATCTCCCTTACACAGTGATTGTGGGGACAGTATTATAATAACACTTGTGAAGGCTTAATACAGTGGTATATAGTAAGTGAATTACTATTATCATTATTATGGCTAAACTTGAGCAGAATGGGATAGAGGTGGAACTCTTTTTTTGTTTTGAGTTGTTGTTGTTTGGTTTTTTTTTTTGAGACAGAATCTCACTCTGTCGCATAGGCTGGAGTTCAGTGGTGCGATCTCGGGCGCACTGCAAACTTTGCCTCCTGGTTTCAAGCAGTTCTTGTGCCTCAGCCTCTCGAGTAGCTGAGATTACAGGCATGTGCAACCACATCTGGCTAATTTTAGTGTTTTTAGTAGAGACTGGGTTTCACCATGTTGGCCAGGCTGATCTCAAACTTCTGACCTCAAGTGACCCACCTGCCTTGGCCTCCTAAAGTGCTGGGATTGCAGGTGTGAGCCACGGAGCCTGGCCTTAAAGATGTCACTCTTTTTTTTTTTTTTTTTTTTTTTTTTTTTGAGGCAGAGTTTCACTCTTGTTATCCAGGCTGGAGTGCAATGGCACGATCTCAGCTCACCGCAACCTCCATCTCCTGGGTTCAGGCAATTCTCCTGCCTCAGCCTCCTGAGTAGCTGGGATTACAGGCACGTGCCACCATGCCCAGCTAATTTTTTGTATTTTTAGTAGAGATGGGGTTTCACCATGTTGACCAGGATGGTCTCGATCTATTGACCTCGTGATCCACCCGCCTCGGCCTCCCAAAGTGCTGGGATTACAGGCTTGAGCCACCGCGCCCGGCCATAGATGTCACTCTTAATGTCTGATGGTAAGGGGGGTTGTGAGAGTGGGGGCACAAGGAGTATGACAACCCAAATGAAAAATAGCCAAGGATCTAGATAGGATCTTTCTCCAAAGAATGAATATAATTGGATAATAAGCATATGAAAGCATGGTCAACATCATTAGCCATCTGAGAAATGCACATCAAAACCACAATAAGATACCACTTCACACCCTCTAGGGTAAGGTGTAGTAATAATAATAAAAAGACCAACAGTGGCAAGTATTGGTTGGGATCTGGAGAACTTGGAACCTCTTTCCTGGTGGTAGGATTGTAAACTGGAGCAACCACTTTGGGGAACAGTCTGTCAGGTTCTCAGATGCCCAGATACTAGAGTGACCATATGATCCTGCCATTGTACTCCTAGCTGTATGCTGAAGAGAAATGAAAATGTAGGTCTACACAAAAACTTGTCCAAGCTACTCACGATGCTGAGGCAGGAGAATCATTTGGACCTGGGAGGCGGAGGTTACAGTGAGCCAAGATTGCACCACTGCACTCCAGCCTGGGTGACAGAGTGAGGCTCCGTCTCAAAACACAAACAAGCAAGCAAACAAATTGAGATGTGTTGCTATGGGACAAGCTCTCTGCTGGGCTCTGGGGACACAGGAATAAGTGAAGCCATGATCACTGCCCCAAAGAGCTTAGAGTTTAGAGGGAAAGACAGAGAAGGGAGCAGGCAATGAGGATACAGTGTTATTGGTGCTTTGCTGGAAGCAACACAGGAGTCAGGAGAACACTAGGAAGAATAGAACTCAGATTGGGAGCAAGGTCAGGCAAAGCTCCCCAGAGGAATTGGTTAGCAGATTTTTTTTTTTTTTTTTTTTTTTGAGACGGAGTTTCGTTCTTGTTACCCAGGCTGGAGTGCAATGGCGCGATCTCGGCTCACCGCAACCTCCGCCTCCTGGGTTCAGGCAATTCTCCTGCCTCAGCCTCCTGAGTAGCTGGGATTACAGGCACACGCCACCATGCCCAGCTAATTTTTAGTATTTTTAGTAGAAACGGGGTTTCACCATGTTGACCAGGATGGTCTCGATCTCTTGATCTCGTGATCCACCCGCCTCGGCCTCCCAAAGTGCTGGGATTACAGGCTTGAGCCACCGCGCCCGGCGGTTAGCAGATTTTTAAAGTGCATGCCACGTGGAAAGAACTCGAGACTGTGAGTGGATAGACGGCAGCTCATGTGGCATCTATTGGAGCAGAAGTCTTTCTTGAGAGTGTTATCCCTGTTGCCTGGAGTCCTTTGGCTGTAGCACTCAGTGGCCAGGATGCCAGGTAGTACTCATTGGCTGTCTTTTTTCTCCTCAGTGTCCAACAAGCACCCATTTGTGGACAGCAATCTTCTCTACCAGTTCAGAATGAACTTCCGGCGGAGGCGAAGACTGATGGAGCTGCTCAGTGAAAAGTCCCCCTCCTCCCAGGAAACTCATGACAGTCCCTTCTGCCTGAGGAAGCAGAGCCATGACAATCGGAAATCTACCAGCTTTATGTCAGGTATGCCATCCCAGGATTTATTGGAGCTCGTGTGTTTGTCTTTTGAGAAATAATAGAGCCATGACTCACCTTTGTGAAATTCTCTCTATCACAGAGTAGAATTTTTACTTACTCATAACCAAGAAGTTTGATAAAAATTCCAAAACCCTAAGTTTTTCTTGGGCCACCAACTTAGATGCCAGAATTCTGTTTTGTAAAACTATGTAGTTGAATTATTGAAGACCTCTCAGGCTCTCACTCACACCTTATTTACTATTCATTTACAAACCATTCTTGCCTGGCATGGTGGCATACACCTGTAATCTCAGCTACTTGGGAGGCTGAGGCAGGAGGATCACTTGAAGCCAGGAGTTTGAGACTAGGCTGGGCCATATAGCGAGACTTCATCGGTCCAAAAAATTTAAAAATAAATAAATATAATACAAGTGGTTTTTACGTATCATTTGATTATTCAGTTTTGTAAATCACAACTTTGAAAAGCTATCTATTTTAAAGATGAATGAGAAGATTATTTCTGTGGGCATTGACACCAGTAACAACAAAAAAGTGCCTGGTTATCCACCCGTTATCATGGTGACAGAGAATGAAGAAGAGCAATGAAAAGCTGATACAAGTCTCACAGAGCATAGCAGCCAGTGGTGTTACACTTTAAGCCGATAGTCTCTGCTGTGTGGTTAGCCCTGAGGGAAATGATGGCGATCGGATGTAAGGGTGATCTGGCTGTGACAACTGTCACTTCATTGATCGTCAGGACTGATTCAGCTGATCTGGCTGGCTGGGAGGTGTAAAAGGAAAAGAAAAATGTAATTAATTAATTTATTTATTTATTGAGATGGAATTTCCCTCTTGTTGCCCAGGCTGGAGTGCAATGGTGTGATCTTGGCTCTCAGCAACCTCCACTTCCCGGGTCCAAGTGATTCTCCTGCCTCAGCCACCCAGTTAGCTGGGATTACAGGCATCTGCCACCACGCCCAGCTAATCTTATATTTTTAGTAGAGATGGGGTTTCTTCATGTTAGTCAGGTTGGTCTTGAGCTCCCGACCTCAGGTGATCTGCCTGCCTCAGCCTCCCAAAGCACCGAGATTATAGGCGTGATCCACCACACCTGGCCACAACTATATTGAGGCTGAGTGTGGTGGCTCATGCCTATAATCCCAGCACTTTGCAAGGCCAAGGCAGGAGGATCACCTGAGGTCAAGAGTTTGAGAACAGCCTGCCCAACAAGGTGAAACCTTGTCTCTACTAAAAATATAAAAATTAGCCAGATGTGGTGGCAGGTGCCTGTAATCTCAGCTACTCAGGAGGCGGAGGCAGGAGAATCAGTTGAACCCGGGAGGCAGAGGTTACAGCAAGCCAAGATCTCGCCACTGCACTCCACCCTGGGTGACAGAGCGAGACTCTGTCTCAAAACAAAACAAAATAAAACACAACGACTACATGTATTGAGACATTTCTGTGCCACAGACCCTGAGCCAAACTTGGTTATATGAATTTTCTCATTTAATTCTTACTGTAACCCTAAACAAAAGGACCTTTCTTCTATTTACAGGTGAAGAGACTAAGGCACAGAGCAACTGAGTGGTTTACGCAAGGTTAGGAAGTGGTGGGCAGGGCTCGGTCTACCAGCTGTAGCTAACACCAGTTTAGTTCCTAGCAGTTTTGTTTTACTCCAATGCCTCTAATACGCTGCCGCCTCCCCAACCCCACACACCCCAGGTTCCTCAGACACAGCCAGCTGGAGGAGAGAAAGAAGCATGAGCTTCTCTGGAAAAAGAAAGGCTGGCTGAGGGTCAGGAGCCTAATCCTGTGCTCCTAGGCCAACCTGGTCAGGCCAAGAGGACACCCCGGATGTATGTCTCCTTAACTTTGCAAACTTCTGCAAAGTAATTTTACTTTCTCACAAGGAAGGGTTTGCTTGTTTCTTGAGTGGGCCCAATAGACCTGAACAAGGGATAAGGATGAGTAGAAGGATCTCGTAACCATGGTAACCTGTATTAGTCCCTTCTCTAAATGCTATAAAGGAATACCTGAGATTGAGTAATTTATTAGGTTGGTACAAAAGTAATCGTGGTTTTTGCCATGAAAAGTAATGGCAAAATGGCAAAAAGTAATGGGGCACAGAAATGTCATATCGTTGTAAGTGGTCTCCTTATCACCTACTATTCCTTCCACCAGCTTTAGCTAACTTCAGTTTAGCTCCCATGAAGCTATGCACCCAAGCTTTGCTCAGTACCTGGGGCACAGGAATTATTTTATTTTATTTTATTTTATTATTTTTCTTTAGATGGAATTTCACTCTTGTGAAGGCTAGAGTGCAATGGTGTGATCTTGGCTCACCACAACCTCCGCCTCCTGGGTTCAAGTGATCCCAGGAGGTGTCTCAGCCTCCCGAGTAGGTGGGATTACAGGCATATGCCACCACGCCCGGCTTGTTTTTGTATTATTACTAGAGACGGGGCTTCTCCATGTTGGCCAGGCTGGTCTCAAACTCCTAACCTCAAATGATCCACCCGCTTTAGCCCCCAAAGTGCTGGGAATACAAGCGTGAGCCACCAGGCCTGGCCAGAAATCAATTTTAATGGCGAAAACCGTGATGATTTTTGTACCAACCTAATATAAAAAAAATTAGTTTAATTGGTTCACGGTTCTGTAGGCAATGTGGGAAGGATGGTGGCATCTGCTTTTAGGGAGACCTCAGGAAGCTTCCAATCATGGTGGAAGGTGAAGGGGAGCAGGGGTGGCAGGGGTTGGGGGGTGGAGGTGCCACATACTTTGAAATAATCAGATCTCAGAAGAACTCACTATCGTGAGGAGAGTGTAATGGGGATGACACTAAACCATTCATGAGAATCCACCCCCATGATCCAATCACCTTCCACCAGGCTCCACTTCCAACACTGGGGATGACCTTCCCACATGAGATTTAGGTGAGGACGTATATTCACACCATATCGTGACCATGAACACCAGCATTTATTTTGTGCTTCCCATGGTTTCATTCAGTCAGATACCTTCCCCTTGCTGAGAGCCAGCCTACTCCATGACAGAGAACCAAATCAGAAAATTAAAGACACTGCCTCACATACATGCTCAAAGCCTGAATGTGTGCATTACTGTGGTTTTCTTACCCCCAAGACAGAGTCTTGCTCTGTCACCCAGGCTGGAGTGCAGTGGCTCAGTCTTGGCTCACTGCAATCTCTGCTTCCTGGATTTAAGCAATTCTCCTGCCTCAGCCTCCCAAGTAGCTGGCATTATAGGCACTTGCCACCATGCCTGGCTAATTTTTGTATTTTTAGTAGAGTCAGGGTTTCACCATGTTGGCCAGGCTGGTCTCGAACTCCTGATCTCATAATCTGCCCACCTCTGCCTCCCAAAGCGCTGGGATTACAGGCATAAGCCACTGGGCCCAGCCCGATTAATGGTTTTATTTGAAATCAGAAGGCATGGATTATACTCTTGATTCATCCCATATAGCTAACACATCATTGACATCCCAGCAGGGACTGCTCAACATGGATGTGGTAGTCCTTGAAATAGTATCATCCTTTCTCAAACATGATATAACCCACACCTTGCACCAATCCTGTAAGACAGCATTGTTCTCTCTTTACAATCAGGGAGACAGAGGCTCAGAGAGCTTCCTTGAGGTTACTCAAGTTGTGCTGTAAATGACAGAGCTGGCCAGGCACAGTGGCTCATACTTATAATCCTAGTTCTTGAGAGGCTGAGGCAGGTGGATCACTTGAGGCCAGGAATTCGAGACCAGTCTGGCCAACATGGTGAAACACAATCTATTAAAAGTACAAAAATTAGCCAGGCGTGGTGGCAGGTGCCTATGGTCCCAGCTACTCCAGAGGCTGAGACAGGAGAATCTCAGGAACCCGAGAGGCAGAGGTTGCAGTGAGCCCAGATCGTGTCACTGCACTCCAGTCTGTGCAACAGGGTGAGACTCCATCTCAAAAAAAAACCAAAATAATATAATATAAAGTAAGTGGCAGAGGTGCAACTCAAGTGCTTGCTTTTCTGCCACTAAGACCAGCATGCTTTCTCCTGGCCTCCTTGGACCCTGTAGTTGAAAGCCTATCTGCTCTAGTGAGCTGAGACCACCCCCATGGTGACTGTGTGTGTTCTCTGGTACACAGTGAGCCCCAGCAAGGAGATCAAGATTGTGTCTGCAGTGAGGAGGAGCAGCATGAGCAGCTGTGGCAGCAGCGGGTACTTCAGCAGCAGCCCCACCCTCAGCAGCAGCCCCCCTGTGCTCTGCAACCCCAAGTCCGGTGAGTGCCCAAAAGGTGGCCCCGCTCCTGACTAGGACTGTGGGGAATGGGGCAAGTCCCTGGGAAGCAGACTTTACTATAGAGGGAGACTAGTGTGTGGACTCTAAGAAGTTAGAGCATGCTCTTGGGGTCCACACAGGTTGAACGGAAGGGAAGGAAGCATTGGGCTGAAGGAGAAATTGGGTCGTAGCCCAGTCTCCATGAAGACTATCATTGACCCAGTGGGACCTCTGGAGCTGGGATGGCCCTTCCAAGCTGCCTGGAGTTGTGTTGAGGGGGCTGGGCCTTTGGATCCACATGTTGACCAGTTATTAGGTATTGGTGGCCCCTGGGAGGAGGCCATGACCTTGGGCAAAGCAGCTGTCTTCAGAGAGATGGTCCCCAAGACAGCTGAGGGCTGTCTCCATTAGCACTCCCAGAGCTGGGAGGAGTCCCTGAGCCCTGAAGGCAGTTTTGGGCAGTGTGTGACAGTGTTCACCCCGGAATGCAGCAGATGCAAAGATCTGTTGTGGCCCAACACTCTTAAGGAAGATGCCTGGATCTGTGCCAACCCAACCATCCCTGGAATTGACCCTGGGTGCCCTGTAGTTTCAGAATCTGCTCATCAACCTCCGCGGCCTTTATATTCCAGGAAAAATATCTAGGCACAAAGATTTGTTGGTGAACATGTACTTAGAAACAATCCTTCCTCCACCCAGTCAGTTCATCAACCCCCCAGGAACTGGTAATCATTAAAACTGCCCTTTCTCACCATCCCTTACCAACCTCGTGTCCTCACTGGTCTCCTTGCCAGGATGAGGATGTGTGGTCCATCCCTCCAGCAACCACCAGAAAACACTCTCAAACCTATTTGTTTAGTGCATTGCCCACCCCCAGTTCAGTTTGTCACCTTCGAGGAAGAGGCTCTGTTCCTTTTGTGCAGATGGTTTCCTCACCATCAGATCTTCGGGGTACAAAGATGACAGGTCATCACCCCCAACTCAATGAATATACTACCTCTTTGGAGAAAAAAAAAAATTCATGTTAGTAAGACTAAGTACTAATTGATGCTGTTCCAAAGGCTTTGAGAGAAAATTCTGTCATCTAATGCTGTTATCTAGGAAGATGGTTATTTTTCCTGATCCAACTTTTTTCTTTTTTTGCTGCCTTCTGGAGAGTTAGCATCAGGAATAAAGTTGTAACCTGTAAGTGAATGCAGAAACTTGCTTCTGGCAGGGCGCGGTGGCTCATGCCTATAATCCTAGCACTTTGGGAGGTCGAGGTGGGTGGATCACCTGAGGTCAGGAGTTCAAGACCAGCCTGGCCATCATGGTGAAACCCCATCTTTAAAAAAAAAGAAAAAGAAAAAAAGAAACTTGCTTCTACACTGTCCTGGCTGAACAGTGGTTGAGTATTGGATTTTTCAATCACTGGACTTTGCTGATTAAGTAGAATGAAAAAGGAGAACTGAATTCTTAGAAATGAGATGTTTGGGCTGGGTGCGGTGGATCACGCCTGTAATCCCAGCACTTTGGGAGGCCGAGGCAGGTGGATTACGAGGTCAAGAGATCGAGACCATCCTGGTCAACATGGTGAAACCCCGCCTCTACTAAAAATACAAAAAATTAGCTGGGCGTGGTGGTGCGTGCCTGTGATCCCAGCCACTCAGGAGGCTGAGGCAGGAGAATTGCCTGAACCCAGGAGGCGGTGGTTGCGGTGAGCCGAGATCGCGCCATTGCACTCCAGCCTGGGTAACAAGAGCGAAACTCCGTCTGGGGAAAAAAAAAAAAAAAGAAAGAAAGAAATGAGATATTTGAAGCCCTCATTGAAATCTGGCAGGCATCCTCAAAGTTCAAAGTAAAAGATCTCAGTTTCAAAAAAGGATCAGTAGTGCCATCACCATTTTACATGTTTTTGATTGCGTATGATAGAATGTGAAAAAAAGTGTTAATTACTGAAATTAGCAACAAAATCCATGCTCCCTGAGGTAGGTTAGTACTGTTTCCTCTTTCTCCTTGCTTCTGGGTCAAAGGGGAGAGTTTACTGTTACGCAAGCAGAAGAGAAAGGTCTTATTTCCTTTCTTGGGTTTCTAAGAATAAGAGCTGTCAGGACTGAGCTGTGGTTTGTAAATCCCACTTCTTACCCATAGTTTGACAAGCTTCTCTCTCGAGAGGGTTCCCAAGACCCATGAGCTCATCTGTGATTTTTTTATTCTCAAGCCAGATGATCAGGACTTCACAGTGAGGCATTTAAAAATTAATAATCTCTCAGGAGGTTGGAAAAGAAAAAAATTTTTTAAAAAATTAATTATCCTAAATATATCAGGATTTTTTTTTTAGTACTATATATAAATGCCCTAGGCCAGACACACACATACAAAAACAGTTCTAAAGATATTGATGTAATCAGTATCATCGTGATAAGCAAGTAAGCTTCCAAGGATATGAAAAGAGACCATCCTGGCCAACATGGTGAAACTCCGTCTCTACTAAAAATACAAAAATTAGCTGGGCATGATGGCGCGCACCTGTACTCTGAGCTACTCTGGAGGCTGAGGCAGGAGAATCACTTGAATCCAGGAAGCAGAGGTTGCAGCCAACTGAGATCATGCCACTGCACTCCAGAGTGAGACTCCGTCTCAAAAAAAGAAAAGAGAATGTTTTCCCCGGGTCTCAATGTTTCTTTTTTTAATAAAATAAAGAGGAGAAGTGCATTAAAAGTAATGGTTAGCACTTCTGCCAAATAGTACAGTGTGATTCCTGTATCCAAATTCATAAGCCCCCTGGGGGTTTATGGGGAGTGGGAAGAGAGTTATTTGACAGGAATAAGAAGATTTTGGTCCTCAAATATTGACCAGTTTTCTTACCTCCCAACCATCTACTGAGAGAGTCTATTTCCATTTTGATATTTGACCTACTCGCCCTTGTTTGGTGAACATGTTTTCCCTTTTATGAGATTTCCGAAAGCAAAGGTGATAAGATCAGCAACCTGTCACCTCAGCAAGAAGCACTGGATTGCCTTTCACTGAGAAGGTGCTTGTCAGGCCAGAAGGCCGAGCAGGTAACCAGCGGGCAAGGCCCAGCTGCCTGGTGGGTCATCAGGCCTCGCCCCACACTGTCTTTCCTTGTCTGCCACACCCTGGTTCCAGGACTGCACCTGACCTCTGACTGCCACTAGCAAAGGGGATCAGAGGATGACACTTCAGCAGATTAGGTCCCTTGGCTGAGGCCTTTTCTGTTTCTTTGTGGCACTTCAAGTTCATGACGTCTACAGAGCTGGATTAAAATGGTCCCTGTTCCCCGATCCCCTGGCTACTTGAGGAAGATACGGCAGCGCCTCTCCAATTCTTAGTGAGAACAGGATGGATGGGGAGGTTCATTGTCAGTGGATTTTAGGCAGCCGTAAGTCAGGAATTGGCTGCTGTCTGCCATCTTGGTAGGCACAGCAGTGAGCTGATGTGAAGAGAGGTCTTAGGAGGACTGCATGCCACTATCTTCCTGAGCTTCTAGATCCTTTCTTTTGCTTGCAGGACAGCGTGGCACAGGAGTGAGTGTGGCCCAGTAGCTGAGAGTGTGGGCACTGGCGTCTAACGCCTGAGTTTCATTCCTCTTCTGCCACACCCGTTAGCTCCAGTACCTTGGACACAATCAGTTTAACTTTTCTGAGGTGGTTTTTGCAGTTATAAAATGGGGTAACAATGATCCTAACTCATTCATTCTTGTAATGATTAAGTGAGTTAATATAATCACAGCACTTTGCATGGTACCTCTCTAGCACATGTTGAGTACTCAGAAAAGGTCACTAGCATTATTACACAGGGCAGAAAGCAGTGTGTACGGTCCTAGGTGTTAAGAAGGAAATGAATGAAGCTTTAGTTTGTGGGACGGGTGCAGGACATTGGACGAAGAGGGTCTTAACTTTAACATATATAAGTCCGTATCAGGAGTTAAAAGAAAGAAATGTTAGAATCAGAAGACATACCATTTTTCCTCGTTGAAACAATTCAGGCTGGGCACTGTGACTCATGCCTGTGATCCCAGCACTTTGGGAGGCTGAGGCAGGCAGATCTCCTGAGGTCACGAGTTCAAGACCAGCCTGACCAACATGGTGAAACCTTGTCTCTACTAAAAATACAAAAATTAGCTAAGTGTGGTGGTGTGTGTGTGCCTGTAATCCCAGCTACTCAGGAGTGTGAGGCAGGAGAATTGCTTGAACACAGGAGGCAGAGGTTGCAGTGAGCTGAGATTGCGTCATTGCACTCCAGCCTGGGCAACAACAAGAGCAAAACTCTGTCTCAAAAAAACAAAAAAAAAAAAACAAAAAAAACTGACCTTCCCCTTTATCCCCCATCCCTGGCAAGCTTGCTTTTCTTCCCTTTCTTTTTTTTTCTTAGCGTTGTAACGTAGGTTTAGGGTTATTTATGTTCACCACTATTTTCTATCTCCACTCAGCTAAAATACAAACTGTGAAGCAGGGATCTTTGCCACGTTTCCTCACTGATGGTCACCTACGAGATATCAATGAATACCTGCTGAATACATGAATGGAGAACTTGGAAGTGCTTATTTCTTGACATTGTGTTTATTTCACAGTGCTGAAGAGACCCGTCACGTCTGAGGAACTCCTTACTCCCGGGGCTCCGTATGCAAGGAAGACATTCACGGTAGGCTGATGCTCTGGCTTTTTTTCTCCCATTTTTCTGCACCGTGTCCATGTGTCATTGGGTAGCTTATAGACTGAAATGAAAATAACTTTTCTAATTTTCTTTTTGATTTTAGCGTAATTATGATAATAGGCTTTCTTGACCTTAAGGCACTAAAATACATTAGGACTTCACATGCCTTATTATTAATATAGCATTTAAAATGTTTTTGATGTGTTCTTTTTTAAAGAAAAGATTTTAGGCTGGGCACAGTGGCTCATGCCTGTAATCCCAACACTTTGGGAAGCTGAGGCAGGCGGATCACCTGAGGTCAGGAGTTCAAGACCAGCCTGACAAATGTGATGAAACACCATCTCTACAAAAAAATGCAAAAAAAATTAGCCAGGCCTGGTGGTGGCATGCGCCTGTAATCCCCGCTACTTGGGAGGCTGAGACAGGAGAATGACTAGAACCTTGTAGGCAGAGGTTGCAGTGAGCAGAGATAGCACCATTGCACTTCTGCCTGGGCAACAAGAGCGAAACTTCATTGAAGAAAGGAAAGAAAAGAGAAGGGAAGAGAAGGGAAGAGAAGAGAAGAGAAAAGAAAAGATTTCCATTATGCACTTATTCTAATTTAACTGCAAATTTTAAGATTGGCATCATTTGCCTTAGAATCTAATAATTTCCGATTTTATTTCCCACCATTAGTAATTTAAGTCATTCGATTTTAAGGGAAATGAAGTGAAAATGATACCAGTAATCTCTTCTGCATCGTAATTCTAGAAATTATTTAAAACATTAAGGGAATGTTAAGGTAGAGAAAGGAAACTGGGATACGTCGTTCTACTGTAGGCATGGTGCTCTGACAATGTGAGCATGCCTTGAGGTACCCAAGCCTCTGACTTGTGAGCAGCTCCGACCGCCTGCCCCTTCTTGGAAGTCCTTTAGGTTCCTTCTGCCTGCGTTAGATTTCTTCAAACAGAATGAAAGTGCTCGTATCAGCATCAGGGCACCCACTCCCCTTCCCGTGTCTCTGTCAATCTCCTCAAATCCACGTTATCACCTCTTCAAAGGTTATCACGTCCTTCATCTTCTAACTTTAGAGGCATTGCGAGCCTGGAGGGTGGAATTCTATCCACACTCAGTCATGCTGCAAACATTTGCTGAGGTCTACTTCACATTCTGACTGCTGAGGAGTTAATAGGAGAAATGCACTGATAACATGTCTGTGCCAGGGCAAAAGATAAACTGTACCTTTGGAAGTGAAATTGAGTATAATATACAAATAACAGCAAACTGTAAAGTCATGGAAGTGCCTGAAAATCTGGAGCATTTCCACAAAAATTTTCATTTGCCTCCCTGTTTTTCCTCAGTCTCCAGCATTCAAGAGACAGTAGATTGTATTTTGCAAGTATTTATTTTTGATTTATTATTATTATTATTATTATTATTATTATTATTGAGATAGAGTTTTACTCTTGTTGCCTGGGCTGGAATGCAGTGGTGCAATCTTGGTTCACCATAACCTCCATCTCCTGGGTTCAAGTGATTCTCCTGCCTCAGCCTCCCGAGTAGCTGGGATTACAGGCGTGCACCGCCACGACCAGCTAATTTTGTATTTTTAGTAGAGATGGGGTTTCACCATGTTGGTCAGGCTGCTCTTGAACTCCCAACCTCAGGTGATCCACCCACCTCAGCCTCCCAAAGTGCTGGGATTATAGGCGTGAGCCATCACACCCGACCCCTAATTTCTGATTTTTAAGTTAAATGCCAACATTGTTAGTAATTGGTTGTGAGGATGTTTCAGCTGTGTTTTGGTTGGGCTGTGTGTGAAAGACATGGCTAGGAGCTGTCCAGGGAATGAAACTGCCAGCTCTAATAATGATTTCTATAGAAAAGTCCTGCTCTGATTCCAAACAACTTTTGGGTTAGAGTCTAAGTTCATTGTGAACTTTACGTACTTCTTCATTTATCCTCCTTGGTGGAGAATATTGTGTTTTAAGAAAGCCAAGTCTAGGCTGGGAGTGGTGGCTCACGCCTGTAAACCCAGTACTTTGGGAGGCTGAGGCGGGAGGATCACTTGACTTCAGGAGTTCGAGACCAGCCTGACCATCATGGTAAAACCCTGTGTCTACTAAAAACACACAAAATTAGCCAGGCGTGGTGTTGTGTGCCTGTAATCCAGTTATTTGGGAGGCTGAGGCAGGAGAATCACTTGAACCCCACGAGGTGGAGGTTGCAGTCAGCTGAGATTGCACCACCGCACTCCAGCCTGAGTGACAGAACGAGACTTTGTCTCAAAAAAAAAAAAAAAAAGAAAGCCAGATCTCTTTATTTCCCACCATTAGTAATTTAAATAATTATGCTAGACTTCAATGACATTGCAGAGTCAAGAGTGTATCATTTGGATATTGGGGAAAAGAACAAACTTAGAGTAGAAATTGTTATCAGGAGGGACATTTCAACCATGTTAAGACTTTTCATAAACCTTCTGTTGGAGTCTGACATTAAATTGTGTAACAGCCTAAGAAAGAGAAAATCTTCCAGTTGTTTGCTGAATCATGCCTTCACGGGAGCATCTTCTTTCTGCCAAACAGGTTATATACATACAGATATTTTTTACCACACTTTCTACAGGGAGATGCCTGCGTTTGTGATAGAAGCAGTATTCCAATCCCCTGGCAGGGAAGAAACGGAAGAAGATATGTCACAGTGCACACTTAATCTTGGGCGGGTTTTCTCTCTCTCAGAAGAATAGGCAAATTGCCGGAGACAGTCGGCTGCTTGCTAATTGTGGTTTTCCTCTCTAGATTGTTGGTGACGCGGTTGGCTGGGGTTTTGTGGTGCGAGGAAGTAAGCCATGCCACATCCAGGCTGTCGACCCCAGTGGCCCTGCAGCCGCAGCAGGAATGAAGGTACTACTAGTTCTTTTTCACCCTCTTTTATATCTGTCCTGGGTTCTTCATGCCAAGTTGGCCATGATTCTCACTAGAGACCTAAACTCGTCTTATTTTGTGTCCTTTTCTGTTTCTGCCCTCTCTTTCTGGTTCTCCAAAGTCTTTAACCTTTCCCTGGGTCTTCCCTCTCTTCCAATGAACATTTGGAAGTGTCTAGCCGGGCACGGTGGCTCACACCTATAATCCCAGCATTTTCAGAGGCCAAGGCAGGCAAATCACTTGAGGTCAGGAGTTCAAGTCCAGCGTGGCCAACATAGCAAAACCCTGTCTCTACTAGAAATATAACAATTAGCCGGGTGTGGTGGCGCACACCTGTAATCCCAGCTACTCAGGAGGCTGAGGCAGGAGAATGGCTTGAACCCGGGAGGCAGAAGTTGCAGTGAGCCAAGGTCGCGACATTGCGCTCCAGGCTGGGTGACGAAGAAAGACTCTGTCTCAAAAACAACAACAGCAGCAACAGCAACAACAACGTTTAGCTGTGTCTAAATACCACTAGCTTAATTTCATTATTTGGTGCCATGTGTACTGTTTCCCTAAGTGTTTTGGTTTCATTTTTGTCCAATTTCCTTTACCCTTTCTGAATGGGGTTAAAATGAAGCCAAGCACATACGATACAGCAACCAGGAGAGCAACTTTCCTGCCTCCCTGGTGTTTGGAGGTTTTCTCCAAACCTCCCCTGGTGCTTCACGTGTTCCCCCTTAACTAATACTGAGTTTGAAAAATTATATATCTCATTTTCCTTCAATCTTTGTGTCATCACATGGTAAAACCCAGTCTTTACTAAAGATATGAAAACTTAGCCAGGCATGGTGGCTCACTCCTGTAATCCCAGCTACTTGGGAGGATGAGGCAGGAGAATTGCTTGAACCCGGGAGGCAGAGGTTGCAGTGGGCTGAGATTGTTGCACCACTGTACCCCAACCTGGGCATCAGAGCAAGAAAGACTGTCTCAAGAAAAAGAAAAAAGACACATATACCATCAAAAAAATTTGGAAAATATATACAATAAGGAAAAAAATCAAAATTACTTCTAATCTTTCCTAACTCAGACTACTGTTAACATTTGTAAAGCAGCTTTATTGAAGTGTGTAATTGGCATCCTATAAAGTGTAGCCATTAACATTTTGATTTATATTCTTCTAGACTTCTTGTGTGTATATAGATGTTATGTACATTGTTTTTATTTATACAAAAATACACTATACGAGGATGTTGAGGTTTTCTGCTTTGAAATACATTTATATAGCACAGCTTTGTTATATCGTCTGAAATGTTTCACAAGAGGATATTTGTCTTGATTTTCTGAAACCGTAAGAGGATGCAGAAGGCTTAAAAGCTAAAGATCATTTCCCTGTTCATTTATTCAATACTTTCATCCTCTTCCATCAGCCTTTTCCTAGAGCAGCAATAAGTGTGATTGGGATCTCCGCTGCTCTGATTTCCAGCATGAGCGCTCTGGCATTGGTTTGCATGCTGGAGAAAATAAGTGGGCGACAGAAAATGGCTCAAGGAAGCAAAGAGCACCTTTACTGCCTGCCCAGATAATCAGCGCTGGGAGGATTAGAGGCTGCCTCTGCCTTTTGATTTGAAGGCCTCCCTCCTATCAGGGAGGCACAGGCCCCGGGGTCTTGTGCTCTGGGGCAGCCATGGAAACCCTACTGGCTAAGGTGGTACCTGGCAGAGCCCTTCTACCTTCCCAGGACTGCAGTGGGCACAGCACCAAAGCAACTTGGAGTAGGAATGTTGGCCAGGATCATAAAAAAGCAAGCACTTGCATCCATGCTGAGGTTGACTTTTTCATTTTCTAACAGAACTCTTGGCTGGGAAAGGGTTTTATATTTATTTCCACCATAAAAAGTACCTCGTATAAATTTTTTTTGGCACAAGGCTTCAGTTCTGAGTGTGCTCTCACTCGCATGATGCTTTGGCTTAAAGTGCATTTCTTTTGAGGAAAGCAATGAAGGTATTTACATCACAACTAAAGACTTTGTTTTGCTTAGTGAAATTAATTGATTTTAGTTTATCTTTGTTGATGTACATACGTAACTATTCTGGGTATCATTAACTGATTAACTCTTTAATGTATATACACTAATCGATGTTTTACCTGATATATTTTTTCAATTTCATAAGCTAATACTTCATGTGGTTTATATGTTTAGTTTCTTCAGAGGTATACAGTGGTTTTCATATGTTACAGAGCTTCACAGAGTTCATTAGAGCACTCTTTCCATCAACGTATTATTACACAGCTCTCTGGTCCAGCAAAACATCTGTTCTGAGGTTCTGTGATCAAAGCAGTTTTAAACTGCCACATACTTCACCCCCGTCTTAGAAATTCACAGAGCACATTAGCATATTAAAAATTCTGACAAATCCGGCAGGAGGAAAAAAGCTGGTTTAAATTGTTTAGCATAACATTTTATCATTTAAGAGAAACACGCAAAGGAATCTTTTATCGGTGTTGTTGGTAAGATATAACCCTAAAAGTCTTCTAAGAAGATGCTTTTGGCCAAACTGCATGAGAATTAATATAACGTCATGCACCACTTAACAACAAGGTTATGTTCTGTGAAATGGGTTTTAAGGCGATTTTGTCATTGTGTGACCATCATGGAGTGTACTTACACAAACCTGGGTCTTACAGCCTGCCTGTACAGCATGTTACTGTACTAAATACTGCAGGCCATTGTAACACAATGGTATTTGCATATCTTATTTATGTATTTATTTAATTTTTTATAGAGATAGGGTTTCAATGTGTTGGCCAGGATGGTCTTAATCTCCTGACCTGTGATCTGCATACCTCGGCCTCCCAAAGTGCTAGGATTACAGGTGTGAGCTGCCATGCCCAGCCATGTATCTAAACATAGGAAAAGTAATGAATTGAGATATAATGTTATGACAATTATGATGTCACTGGGCAATGGGAATTTTTTAGCTCCATTACAATCGTATAAGATGATGAGGGGCTGGACGCAGTGGCTCATGCCTGTAATTCCAGCACTTTGGGAGGCCGACGTGGACAGATCACCTGAGGTCAGGAGGTCCAGACCTACCTGGCCAACATGCTAAAACCTAGTCTTTATTAAATATAGAAAAATTAGTCGGACATGCTGGTGGGTGCCTGTAGTCCCAGCTACTTGAGAGGCTGGGGCAGGAGAATTGCTTGAACCTGGGAGGCGGAGGTTGCAGTGAGCCAAGATCGTGCCATTGCATTCCAGCCTGGGTATCAAGAGGGAAACCCCATCTCAGAAAAAAAAAAAAAAAGAAAAGAAAAGATGGTGGGACCACCATCATATATGCAGTTTGTAGTTGAATGGAACGTCATTATGCAGTGCATGACTATACAGAGAGATATATATTTTAGTATTACAGTTTGTTGGTTAAATTAAAACAATAGCAAATAGCAGGTCCTGCCATAGAGTTTGGCTGTTTATATTTATTTGAAATCATTTTGTACATTATTTTCTTACCTAAAATACTGAATAAATTATTTCCTATTATACCATTTGTCATAATTTCACTTAAAACAAGCCATTTGTATGATCTAATCGTAAAGGCTTGCTCCCACCAACCTGTCATCACTGCTTTCTTCAACTTGGAAAATTGCAGAGTTTGGGGTGTGTAGTCCTCAAGAGGGTCCTGGGGTATCCTGTGGGAAGGATCTACCCACTTGGGCACTGATTCACCTGCTAGGTCCGAGTGGTGGAAATTGTCCGATAGATGCCTCCTTTTGGCATCTCTGACTGTCCAGAGCTGACCTAGGATGGTGTAAAGTACCTCGATGTCCCTTCCTGCACTGAATGTCAGGCTCTCCCTGAGTCACGGTTCTCATTTTCTCTGGGTTTTGAATGGGGACAGGGCCCTGTATCTCAGTGTTTGTGGCTACTTCATCCAGTGAGATTGTTATACTTTTGCTATAGCTACTTTTTTTTTTTTTTTTTGAGATGGGGTTTTGCTCTTGGTTGCCTAGTCTAGAGTGCCATGGCGTGATCTCAGCTCACTGCAACCTCCACCTCCCAGGTTCAAGTGATTCTCCTGCCTCAGCCTCCCTAGTAGCTGGGATTACAGGCATGTGCCACTATGCCCGGCTAATTTTGTGTATTTTTAGTAGAGACGGGATTTCACCACGTTGGCCAGGCTCGACCCAGCATCTTTGAATTTAGAGTTATTCTTATTTCGAAAGTTCTTTTACTTAAAAAATAAAATCTGCAAACCTCGTGCTAGGAGGACTTTTGTTTGGCACTACAATTCTAGAGGGGAGCATGAAATATGAAAATCATCAGAAGTTTGGTCAACTCATGCAATGCATTTACATCCAGAAGTTGTTTCCTGCATTTTTCCTTTGATGACTTTTTATTCATCCTTGAAGAATTTTGTATCCAGGGCTTCTGGTTTCCTTTCAGTGCAAAGGGGAAAGGAGCAAACAAGAGAAGGAACTATCTCTTCTATGTACTTGACCCTGTACCATGCAAGCCCCTTTCTCTACAGGAGCTCATGTACTGTCAGCATCCAAATACTCATATCCCGGACAGAGAGATCATTCCCGGAGGAAAAATTCTGTCTCTTATCTCTTTGCCGCTACTTTGAAAGGAAAGCCAGTTCCTTCCTCAAGCGATTTTTTTTTTCTTTTTTTTAGACCGAGTCTCACTCTGTCGCCCAGGCTGGAGTGCAGTAGTGCGATCTTGGCTCACTGCAACCTTTACTTCCCGGGTTCAAGTGATTCTTCTGCTTGAACCTCCTGAGTAGCTGGGACTACAGGCATGTGCCACCACGCCCGATTTTGTATGTTTAGGAGAGACAGGGTTTCACTATGTCGGCCAGGCTTTCTCAAACTCCTGACCTTAAGTGATCTGCCAAAGCCACCACACCCAACCCCCAAGCTATTCTGTATGTTACAGTCTAATGAATATTGTGAAACCTTGGCTTCCTGTCACAACCCTGAATGATATAATC